TAGTACTGAGAAGGTCGCTCCTGCCGCCAGAACAGCCATAATGGCGACCACTAGGTCCACGCCACGATGGGCAAAGATCATGACCACCTCCCCTCTCTGCACGCCATTTTGCACCAGATGATGGGCTAGTACCGAGGTAGCCTCGAATATGTGCTTGTATGTGAACTTGCGCTCGGGTGTCTTGCTGGTAGCCGTCTCTACCACGCATGGCCGCTCGGGATGCTTGCGAGCATTTCCTGCGAAGATCTCGTGGATGGGCCCCTTGAAATCAGACCAGTGAAGGTCCGCGGTCGGATCCGGGATGCTTCCTTTGGTAAGTGAAGCCATTGTCGCGCGTACCTGTTCCTGCATGTTTTAAGAGTATATGGCGGGGTCGCGTTGTAAGTGTGCGCATGCGCGTAGATAGTTCGCGGATGTCCAATTGGGACGTGAGCGAACCGAAGAAGGTATGAAATTCAGGCTTGGAGTGACGATTCGTCTCACGGCCTCTAGAATTGAAGAATGCAAGGAGAATGCAGAGTCATAGACACCAAGAGTAACAGAAGAGGTATGACGCATCCCGTCAAAATGCTCGACTCAGGCGACATCGGCCAGGGCGACCCCCACCACCGAAGGCTCGAAACGCGCGGGATGTCTGGGTCTGGGGCGCATCATCAGCCCTGCGCTAGCCTTGCACCTCGCCCTCGCCAAACTGGAAACGTTCCCTTAGCACGACGCGTCACCCGGCGTGTCAACTGGTGCAACTATCTGCAACCTCTGCGTCTTTTTGTGCCTTTCTGTCGCTCGTTACGTTTGCTTCAAAGCTTGTTCGCATCGCCTAGCGGAGCTGAGTTCGCGCCGCATTGCCTTCAATCAGCAACATCAGGCCCACCACGGATACCGGCTCCAGTAGTCTGAAAGCGCCCATGTCGCCCGTGTTGCCATAGTCTGCCTTGTATTCACCTCACTTCTACATCCGATTGTGCCATGCCGACTCAGCATACCTTCATGGGCCGGCCCATTGCGCTGCAGATGCCCCCGAGGAGGTTCCAGGTCATCATCATCCTGCTGCTCTTCGTCATAGTAAACTTTACCTTTTACGGAACCCCAACACGCGACAGCATTCCGACCTATGACGAAGTCGCTGATGCGGTCAAGCACCCGCAAGCCCACCTGCCTGACCTGGGCGAGCTGCCAGCGGTGCCCAAACCCTTCGGTCCCTCAGCACACAAGCCACCGGTTCAGGCAAACAGTACCACGGCCAGTGCTTACGGCGCGATAGAGTGGCTCAGTGATTTCAAATGGCGCAACCCTTTCTCCTCCCGCGTAACTCTCGACGAGAACACCGCCCTCCTACCACCGCTACGCGAACGACCGCCGATCTACACCTACTACGACGTACCGAAGAAGCAGGACAAGGAAGTGTCTGCGGCAGAACAACGGCTGATACTGGCATGGCGGCGGGCGTGGTGGGCACAGGGTTTCAAGCCTGTCGTGTTGTCGCGGGCTGAGGCTATGCACCACCCACAATACCAGCTGTTCCAGCGCATGAAGCTAGATCCAAAGATCGAGTTTGAGGTCATGCGCTGGCTGGCTTGGGGGCACATGGGTGGCGGCGTTCTCGTCAATTGGCTCGCATTGCCCATGGCCGAGTACGAGAACCCGATGCTCAGCTTTCTGCGACGAAACGAATACGCCAAGCTGTCGAGGGTCCAGACCTTGGATAACGCCATCTTCTTTGGAGATCGCATGATGGTCGATGACGCGATCAAGAAGGTCATGGGCAACGAGCTGCTCAAGAATGTTACCGCGAGCAAGGATAAGCTGTTGAAGCTCGCCAAAAAAGAGGGTGGACCGATTGTCAACCTCCTAGACACGAAGGACATGGACGTAGACAGCAAGGCCAACGGCATCGCATCCTACAACATGCCTACTATTTCCAGCAAGTACAAGACGGTCGCTGATAAGTTTACCAACACGACGCAAGCCGAGGCCCTCGACTTGCTCGCAAACCTCGTCAACTCGCACCTCCACCTGACCTGGCAAGAGCAACATCCAGAAGGTGTGGTAATCGTCAAGCCTGCACCGGAGCACACGACTGCCCTTTTACACGAAACAACGGACATTGCGCGTAACTTGACGCAATGTCCGACTACTCCAATGCCCAAGTCGTGCCCGCCGAATCGACCAAAGTGCAAACCGTGCGATGCCAACAAAGGAATGAAGCTTCAGCTGTTCCCGGAATTCGTAAACACGACCAAGTTCTTCACGATCGGAACCGTTCCCCACCCATACACGCTTACCTCGTTACACTACACGCGCGACATGATAGACAAGAACTTCCTCCGCAACAGCGCAGCACGCGACCTGTGGATTAAGAAGCTGACGGACAAATCTATCCCGGACGATCACACTGAGGAGTACCGCGTTCTCAAATTCAAGGAACTCGTAGCAGCAGCTCCCGCTCATACACTTTGGCTCACAGCCGAGCGCATCACCCAAGACGATCTGGACTGGATCTTCGGCTTCGGTCTACCCCAGAACGTGTCTGCGAATGCCGAGCCCAGTTCGCCCAGCAAGGAGTCCGAACTCATCGTCTTCCCCCGTCCCGAACCCCCCAAGCCCATCGAGGGTATAGATATCCCGGACGAGAAATGGATCGAGAAAGAAGAAGAGCGCTTGAAGAAGGCACGCGAGGCCATCAAGAGCAAGGACAGGAACATGAAGCTAGTTGTCGAAGCCGTGGAGCAATGGAACTTGGCGGATACCGAGGCCTGGAGGTTCTCGCGCGCCTACTCAGCGAGAAGGCGGCAGGAGCGGAAGAAGTGGGAAGAGGAAGAGGCCAAGTTCTCGGGTAGTGAAAAGAAGGCTGGCGTTAGACCTGGAGAGGGCGGTGGAAGATGGACCGATCGGAGTTGATTCAGTTAGCGATTTGGGTTGTTCTATAGGAGTATCTATTGGCGTTCTTGGGGTATGTTCAATACTAGCGTGTACAGCTTAGAACTAGTGTCTGGTTAGAACGTGAGACTGGCTGGACCATGTCCGTACAGCGGCGAACATAGGAAGAGGCTGTAGGATGTTGCAAAAAGAGATGGGCATCCGCTTGCATAGGCAAAAAGAAGGTCAGAAACATACAACAATGGGGTACATTCGTAATGGATAAAGCCAAACGGTGCTAAGGCGGTCTTGCGAGCGGATGACAACACGAACTGTCGTGACATCAGCAGCATCCCCCGAGAAATTCCTGTGTTGGGACTTTCTCAGCCTCGTGTAACAGCTAACCCATCCTGCAGTGCCTAGCCTCTACCAAGGTAGACAGTGGCGTGCAGGCGAAGCATCTGGAAGAGAGACGGAGGTCCCCGGGGACATCAGCTGCTTAGTGATGGATTGGGATAATGAGCAGCAGTATAGCGGTTTATGGTTGACAAGGCTGAAAGGGTGTTGCACCGCTTAACACCCTGGTAACTTCGCTTCAATTCAGCAGCGCAGGCAATTCGCCCCCGATATCAATGCCTTAAACATTACAAAGCTTTCGGCACAACGTCTCTATTCCTCCCGGTCAATGGGTATTGCATCAAAAATATTCTGTCAGATCTTAGCCTTGTAAGCTCGCCTGAGGATGCTTGCGTGTGACCTCAGGAGGCATTTTTGTGATCATATGCAAGCCGCGATGCACACAGCCACCGAGGCGTTTCGCGCTGGCCGACCGGTAAGGCATCTCAGGCCACAGCTCTCAGAGTATATGTCGCAGTCTACACATCTTTTTCATCATCACTCAACATCTCAAACCCCATGTACTTCAATCTACCTTACCAGCATCAAACATTGATGGCTGCATCTCCCTCTCAGCAGCCTTGGACCTTTGACGTCAGTTCTCTCATCGTGCTGATAAGCGAAGATGAAGAGCGCAACTATCGCCTGAGTCGGCGCTCTCTCCTGCAGTGTTTAACCGCCGCGCCAGTCGTGGGACTCCAAAATTACGTCCGCTCCTACGACCTATTACTCGAACCTAGCACGGAAACCTATTTCTCGCCGTACGGCGTGAAAAGCGCACCACTGCGCAACATTCGATTGGCAAATGCGCTGAAACATAACAAACTATTGGAAGATAAAAGATACACCGTTCTCAGCATACCTGCGACGCGCAGAGAACAGGACTGCGCAAGCCGCTCTTCAGAAATCCTCATCGCGTGCTGGACGGGTACGACATGGCTGCTCATCGCAGGCTTACTGGTCGCTATCCATGAAGTTCCTGGGACCACATGGGTGTCGTACGCTACATGCGCCGCGTTCACAGGGTGGTCGATCATCCTGCGCCTCATCGAGTACTTCAACGTGGTGCCCGCACCCGCCGAACGCCGGAATGTACACGAATCCGACGCGCCTGACGCTGTGTTTATTATGGGTCGCAACAACTCCGCCTTTGTGCTCAAAGGAAGCCGTAAAGACGTGAAAGATTGGACGAGTTGCGGGTTGATGTACCGCGAGGCTCCGTGCGGCGTACCATCGTCTGTGTGGCAAGGCTTCACTCGCATGGCTAGCCTGATGGTGTTGTTGTTCATCTTCTCAGCGGTGCCAAATGGAAGTACACTAGATCAAGTTGCGTTCATTATCCTAAACGCGGTTGCGCAACTCAATGTGCTTGTTGGACAGCGGCTGAATAGTCGCTGGGTAATGGCAAGGCTAAAGAAAGAAGAAGACTCGAGGGTGGAGACTAGAACACATGTTTATGCGAATCTGATCAGAGAATTCAAGGATGCTGAGAGCGAGAACCAGTGGGTTGATGCATCGGGGATTTTGCCCAGGACCGAGGTGTGGAAGGAATGGAAAGAACGGGTTGTGCACGATGAGGGAGATGATCCGAAGAAGTTGTACCGCGTGATTTCAGATGATTTTGAGTACAAGAGTAAGAGCAGAAATGGGAGCTTAGGTGATATGGACAGGTTCGTTGAAGTGAAGGAGAAAGGTCAACAGCGCTGCTAAGTGAGAGTATGTATCGTGAAAGTGCCTCCTCGTCGCCCTCAGCGTAATTCATAAATCCACTCTTGCTCATTTCCGTAGAAGCGTTCTCGCACCGCTTCTCCATCCATGCATCCGTGTACATAGCTCTCCCCTTTGAAGACATAGAATGTTTCCTCGTCTTGTTGGAATCTCTGCTTTGTGGTTTCCTTCTTGCCACGCTGTTCCTTGGCTTCTTCTCGCTCCTTGTCTCTTCGCTTCTTGTCTTCGATAAGGACACTGTTGACTTCCTCCCGGACGCGTTTCACGTCTTGCTCCCAACTGGATTCTGCTGGGGTGTTTCCTTCTTGTTTCTTGTACTTCTCTTTTTGGTTCTCATACCTTCTCTTGCACACGAGGATCTTTTCCAGTTTCTGAACGCACGACCTGAATGTCTGATATTGATCTTCAAAGATCTCATTGTCTCTGTCTCCCCTCTGCTTTTTCTTGACGCTCAGAATTACTGGGACAGTACATCCATGTAGGATACACACCAGGTCTCCTTTTCGGACGTCTTTACCAAGTCCTAGCCTACCTTCTTTGGTTTTGAAGAGAGATCGGCCCCAGATGACGGCATGAACCCGCCGACAAAATTCCGCAATGATGGAATTTCGTTCGTTGTTGATCAAAGCCGTAGTGTTCACACGACCACTTTCCCGCCCACCTTTATCCACGGATTCTCTACACGCTCTCGCAAAGTAGTACGGTGGATTGCGGTTATCAAATCCTCTGTCGGCAACTATCGTCCTCCAAAACTCAGCCGGTGGATCTTGGGTGTATGGCGGCTCCCATCCACTTAGTTCCAGCCATGAATTTGGAATATTTCCTCCCTGGGATGCATCTCTGACCTCATCAATCTCATCCACTTTGAAGCCGGTAACATAAAGACTGTAATGTCCCAAGTAAGGTCTCTTCCTGAACTTGATACAGTCAAGCTTTACAGTCTCAGTTTGCGCCGCGCTGTAGTTTCTGTGCCCATCTTGTGGCCACCCAACCAAAGGGTCTGCATTTGCTCGTCCTGTCTTCTTGAAGTCTCTGCGCCCATCTGTTGGCCACCCGACCACAGGATCTACATTCGTTCGGCCTGTCTTCTTGATCTGCATACCAGGATGGCGATAGATCTCGAACGGTGCGTTCTTAGCACGAGGTATCCATGATGGTAGAGCGATGTCTCTAAATTCCTCCATCTTGGTTTTGTCATCTTGATTCTCTTTCCTCTCTTGCGCTTTTCGCTTCCGTGATTCTTCGCAGAGCTCTCTTGCTTTTCCTGAACTCCAGTTCGTGCTACTCTGAATGAGCCGTTTTTGGTAATCTTTGAAATCACTGTATTTCGTTTTCCATTCCGCGCTTCGCTCACGTATAAGCCTTGGCTTTTCAGCCCGGTCTGCAGGTGATTTTCTTTTCTTTTTCTTCAGTCTAGCTGAACTGCCGAGCTGGGGCTCCAATGCCCATGGACGACATAGTATGTCCAAAGCCTGTACTGGATCACGTGCGTTCTTCCGTCGAATACAGAACTCCATAAAGTCTCGACAGACGTCTGAATATGCTCTAGTATAGTCAACTAGAAATGGTTTCTCTGCAAGAAACCCTTGGAAGAGCGACACCAGAAACGGCAGATCCACATCATTGGTCGACTCGACATGCTTGATGAATGGACACGCGTCCGATACATGATGAACTACGTCTGTGCTGTATGGTATTGTATCCGGAGCGAATGGTGCCGCGTCTCTAGCGATGGCTAGCATAGAGTACACAGAATCTCTGCATTCGCTTGCTTTGAATATGAACATTGTCGTCACTAGATACTCCAGGCTGAGAAGGCTTCTGCGATCCAATGGATCAATCGTCTGTATGTTATCGAGCGATTTAGTCCGCTGGCCATGCTTCTCCTCGTTTGCCTTCTTTTTGGCCTTCTCCTCCTCGGCAGCTTTTTCTTCGTCGGTCATTTTAACGTCCAAGGCCTTGTCGTCCACTTCATTTTCGTCCATGGGTGTTCCATAACTACGAAACACCTTGCCTGTCGCTTGTACCAGGAGGCTCGCTCCGAGTTGTGAAACATGTTCAAACCAGCCAGGTACATGTCGAGACTGGACGTCCTTCTGCATCACTTCTGATAGTCGGTGTGTAGCAGTTTCAACCTCCACAAAAAGTTCGACAGCAACTGCAAATTCTTTCCATGGCATTGAGTCAGGCCCGCACCATATCTCTGCTTTGTTCGCTAAAGACAGCTCTTGAACGACCCAGCGGCGGGAGAACCATTCTCGCTGCATAAGCACCATCAACGCCAGCCATTTGCCGCCGTAATCTTTATCTGAGCTGATTGCATCAAAGTCTTTCAGGTGCGTGATTTCTTCCTTGATGAACTTAAATGCGACCTCGCTCTCATTATCTTGCTGCCCAAGCCAAATACAGACATTAGCTGCTCGAGTGTAGATCCTGGACATCATCTGAACCTGTTGATTTCTTTCGACATCGTTTTCCTGGTCGATACAAATCGCGTCAATCCAGAGAATCCTTGGTCTCCCTTGGTGACGAAGGTATTTCAGTGCTAGGGCCAGGTCCTTTCTCACTGGCATCTTGTAGGACTGGTCACCTTTCGTCACCAATACCACGTAATCAGAGACAGCCCGACCCCAGCACCATGATAATGCTTCGTACTCAATTTCGATCTTCTCAACTGCTTCTAGCTCCTCTCCCAAAATCTTGCGTTTGAGTTCTTCGAATCGATCTTGAAAGCGACCAATGGGTTTCTCTATCGCTTTCAATTCCGCCTTCGCTGTCGTTTCCTCCATTGCTCTCGTCTTTTCTATCTCTCTCATTTGCTCCATGGCCGTCGTATTCCATGTACCATCTGCCATCTGCGACACAGTACTCGCCATCTGCCATAAGCGCCCCGTGGTCCACCAGCTGCCATCTAGCGCCCTCTTTTCCTGTTCCCTCATCGTCTTCATTCTCTTCACTAATCTGCTTAATGACTGTTTCACGTCTTCCAGTTCTGGTTCGAATTTTGAGCGTTCCCACTTGCGGCTCACATGTGTGGGGATATGGAAGGAATTGTCGTAAGCCGCCTCGAAAAGCTCACATTGAATGGAGTCGTCGCGATCACCCGAGTTGAGGCGCATGAGACGAATCATCTTTGGCGGTAGAGGATTGTAGACGTATTGCTTCAATGGCTCAAAGCGCGGGTCGTCGAAGCGAAAGAGCGAGCTTGCGCTTCTGTCTGTCCTTTGGAGAACATAGGTTTCATCCCCAAGTACGAGGGAATTGGATGTGCTGCTGAACTTGGCCCATGCAGACATGATGGAACGATTTGTATGCTGAGTTGATAACGTTTTCCGATGATGATTATAGAGAACACTGAATACCACTACGGTTCGTGATTAAACTGGATCGATGGGCTTGGGTCAGATCGAGGTGAGAAGACAGGGCTCGCTATGCGAAGTTACCTAGGCATTCATCGCTCGTATCAACGCGAACCTCTCAGCTTGAAAAGGCCTGTTTCTCTCTACGACCGCCGCAACAGTCCTGGGAAGAGCCAGGCCGCAGCAATTGCTGACCGCTTTCCTCTCGCAGGCAATAAATGTTGTGCCACGCTCCTTCCATTTCCGGCGCACATCAACTCCAAGAACACATCACTCATACCGCTACTCACATCATAGCCGCATCTGATTGGATCTCCTGAGATCGGCGAGGTCAGGTTCTCATCTGCGGAGTTCGAGGTGGGAGTTCCCATTGCAAGCAGACCAATCTGATCTTGATGCGAACGCCCTGGGCGCCAACATATCATTCAGCCAGCCATCAGCCCGATGAGGCTGACCGGACTGCACTTCAGCTCTCAGCTCTAGCCGCCGTGCCATGGTCTTACGGGTTTATGCTTGTCATGATGCTCCCCACCTTGGCTGAGCCTGATATCGCAAATCGAGGCATTGCCCTGTCGACTGATGATGTTTGACCGCTCTGAGAACATCGCAGAGGCTTTTGGAGTCTTTTGGGACTGGATGCGTAGTCGATGGAGTATGCTTGATAGAAGTTGCTAGTAGACCACATAGACTTCGGGTTGCTTCTCCATAGGCGACCTTACTCAGCTTTCGTATAGACGAGCAGGATACTTTCACCTCAAGCGACATCTTATCTACACACGGGTGGGATCGCTCGCGGGAGGTGCGCAGGTTAGACCAGTCACGGAGTTGCCTCTAGCCGGTCGGCAACTGTTGTCCTCGGAGCTTGCGTCGACAATTTTCAGCCTGATGACATCTGGACCATCATTTCCTATCCTGTACAGCGTAGGATTACGCCAATCGAGGCCACGAAACGTGGTTAGCGATGCGTATTACTTCATCGCCCGCTTAACGGATAACCTCGTCTCTCGCAGCACGCGACTTTGGCGATCAAGGTCTTGTTTCCTACAGTCCGTCTTCATTAAAGCCAGAGGTAATGCAGACAGGAGATTCGCTACTCTTGTGAGAAAGCTGCCAGGGCAGATCGAGTTTAGCCGGGAACCGAGATTATCGATGATACGCATGGGAACAACTGCCGTCTAACGAATCGATGAGAGCATCTCCCGTGCACAGCCTGCCTCGAATCTTCCTCAATTATGCGCGGCAATTAGTTCATCAAGAGCTATCGTAGCCTCGACCGTAGCATCCACGGCCTTTTGGTCCGACTGTCTTCCAGATTCCCTGCAGTTTTGAAACCGGCCCTTCCAGAATCGCAGTCCTTTGACATCCACTGAATTGGTACCGCCTTCAGCCTCTCATAGACTGCCAGAGATGTAACTGTACTTGCTGGAAGGAGACCCCGCGACCACCACTTGTTTGCCCGCAATCACCAACCAAGCCGCCGCTGCGCGAACTGCAGCATGTGCATCTCCATCGTAGTTTGTACCAGAACCATGCATCAGGAAAGCGAAGGTTGCAAAGGCAAAATCGACACAACTTCGCAGCGGAGATGCTTGGGGCGGATCTTGTCGTGCTATCAGAGCTGCGGATGTGTTGACGTTGGTGTACATGTCTCCGGATTTGCAAGACGGTAGCTGGTCACCATCGTGTTCATTGCCAGAGACCTGGCGGAACTGGAGGGGCCCGTTACGCAAGTCGCCCCCAATCCAAGAAGTAAAATATGGTAGCCCGGTCCATAGTTCTCCTCCCGATTGACTGTGCAGCTTCATCCTCTCCCCTGGTTGAACCGCAATAGAACCCTCTTCAAACACCATTGGTTTGTCCGTATTGTTATAAACGTCGAGTAGCTTCGCTAGTTCGACCGTGAGATCTGCCAGTACCTGGAGGTGTTTCCGAGATGAACGCTCTCGTGCGGCTGAGAATATGAGCATGAGGATGTCGCCATAAGCGTTGGCGATATCGTAGCAGGTATCACGGTCTGATACTAAAAGCACCCAGTCACCGAGTCGCTTTGCTGCTATTCCTGCAGGATCGTTTTCGTGTAATACGTCCTGGTAGATCTGTAACAATGCCAGCTAGGAGGGTGCAGGCTCAGGATATTCCACGAACTCCGCAGAGGGGTCTGCCTGCCGCTGGCGTATTTCGTGGAAGAGCGCAAGTTGCTGGAATTATTTCTTCTTCCACGCTTTAGTCATCGTTGTCGCAAAGCGTTACTCACATGGTGGCACATGTTGAGTAAGAGCTGATTGCGAAGGTCTCGAAATTATCGTGAGTGGCAGTTGCGGACGGCCTGTTCACGTGCCGTGCAACGCCACCTGGGCACCAAGGCAACAACGTCATCCGTGATCGTAGACTGGCCCCACCAGTCCAAAAGGCGAGACGACCAGAGACTTCTGCTGATATTCGGAGCTCTTCACCCAGCATTTGAGCTTGGCGAGCGCCTTTAGGCCACCACAGCTTGGAGGAAAATGCGGAGGGCATACGTCACATGACTGCCAAGCACGGCCGATTCCGGGGTATAATTATGAAGTTGGCGTGGTGCACGTGTATCTCGCTTGTTATCGAAATGGAGTGCGATGTTCATCTTTCACATTAACACTTGATCTTTCGGATGAAGCAGTGAGGTCGGAGCCTGTACGCTCACTGCCTTTGATGGCGAAGTCTTCAATGCTAAGGCGTTGCTGTTAAGGCGTTGACGGTGAGGCGTCAATGTTGCGTGTTCGGCCGAGGGCCGTCAGGCCTCTCGTACAGTATTACCCCGCCGTCCCTACACTCCAGGTAATTCAGGTTGCAGCCTGAGAACGACACAAACATCGACTTCCTGCCTTCAAGCATGGAAGAACTAAGCTTGGTTCCTGACGCTGATAACGTTCGTCGCATTAGTCTAGTACTATCAGATGACTCGACTCGCACGACACCTGGGACTAAGCTACAGCAATACCGGGCAAGCAGGAGTCAAGATGTCCAGCCTCAAAGCGCCACTGTCGGCGCTGCTGCAACGACGTTCTGTCATAAGTGCCGCAACATGCACTTCAAACCTTATGAAGACTGCTCACTCGAGTTGCAGGGAGCGGTCATCCAATCACCATACGCGTCACTATACTATCTGCATTCTCCGGGCCTTGACTCTCTTATGCAGACTGCGGACTCAGGCTGCCCTTTCTGCAAGACCATTGCGCATCGTTTTTTGGTGGATACAGAACTCTGGAATGACACGCGCGTTGCCGGGGAACAGATTGTTTTCAATCTTTCTCTCAACTACGACGATCAAGGAGTGGGAACTCCATGCTTCGACAATCTCACAGTGTACAATTGCGAACGCAACTGGTTTTTCCAATGCGAGAGTGATCTACCAGGTAAGAGCCTCTATCCACCCGTTATGAGGTCTCATTGGCTTATTGCTATCTGTAGTCGCATTTCAAAAGCCATTGGCGGCGTTAGCTTCACAAAATTCTGCGGCCGGCGATAGTAATGCTGAAGATCCGATGTATTCGTACTGGACAGACTCTTCGACACTATCAGAAGCAAACATGGAACTTGCGTCAACGTGGTCTCACTTATGCCTGAGCGAACACCCCGGCTGTAGTATCGACACAGAATGCACCCTACCTACCCGCGTCATTCGTATCAGAGGGCCCCTAGATCTTGTCTTAGAAGACGGCCAGGAAAGATGCCTTCCGTATCTTACACTAAGCTACAAATGGGGCGATACGAAGAGATACTGCACTTTGACTGAGAACATCGCCAATCATAAGCAGAAGATACCGCTTGAAGCCCTACCAAAAACCTTTCAGCACGCCCTGTTGGTTACAAAGCGTTTGGGGTTCGAGTATCTGTGGATTGATGCACTTTGCATCATACACGACTCACCCGAGGACCTGCAAAATGAGATCAGCCAGATGGGCAGCATTTACCAAGCATCAACAATAACACTGTTTGCGGAAGCAGGAGATGATTCTGAAGCCGGATTGTCCATTCCACGAGATCCTCGCACGTCCAAACCCTGCAAATTGGATTTTAGGGCGACCTTCGATAGCCGTGTGTTGGAAGTGTCGAGATATGTTTGTTATAACCCGTTCAACCTCTTACATAATGAATCGAAGCAGTCGCCTCTTCAGAAAAGAGGATGGGTTCTACAGGAAGAGCTCCTGTCACCACGACTTTTGAAATTCGGGTCTCGCCAACTAAAGTGGGAATGCCGACATTCTACTCTTTGTGAGAGTCTACCTCATGATCATAAGCGCAACGCTACTATGCACCCCAAAAATCATAAACTGCGTTCTTGGATGTACGACCGGAGAGCTGCACAGGATTTGGACAGTCAAAGACGAATGGATATGTTCACATGCTGGTGCGAACTTGTTGAGAACTACTGCAAGCGCTCGCTCACGTACGCAAATGATGTTCTACCAGCCATTGCCGGCATTGCGAATGTATTTGCGAAGAACAACCAACTATCCTATATCAACGGGCTCTGGAAAGAGGACCTGCCTTTGGGACTACTTTGGGTCGTTCATAAAGGCGACAGTGCGCATACGTCACATTCGTCTCATCAGCAGGCTATCGATAGACCAGACGCTCCCTCTTGGACCTGGTTATCGCAGTGGGGTAAATCCGTTGAGTTCGAACAAAAGCAGTTGCGACATTGGGCCGAGTCCTACGATATAACGATCGATCAACTGGGCCACGCTGATGATGATCTCGAAGAGACAGCTTATGGTCAAGACGAATCGCCTTCAGATCAAACCATGAGTTTCCAACAAGTAGACACGAGACCGCTTCGATTTAGAGGTTATCTCATCAAAGCAGATGTAGAGCTAGGCAGTTGGTCACCTTGGGTTCCACAAGCGTGGGGACGGCGTGTGACCACGCGTCATACCCGGGAGGACATGGGACTTTTCTTCCCCGACTCAGATCCGTTCAAAGAGCCCATACTGGAGGTCACATGTTGCCTTTGTGTCGTGTGTGAGGATAGACATAGCGCTGCGTATATGTGGTTAGCCTTGGTGTCCACATCTCAGCCCGACGTCTACAAACGAGTCGGTATGGGCCGGCTCACCATTGACGACAAGACTCAGCCTTTGCCATCATATTGGGAAGCTGAGGGCAAAGCGACGTTCACTTTGGTGTAAGAGGTGGTGAGCAATATATGATTACTTTTTTGAACGCGCGGGGCGCAGGTGGCGTGGCCTCGCCCTGCGCCCATCCCCGGCCTCCAACTCGCAGACCAATCCATCTCTTGACTGTGATGCACGGTGAAACAAGTAGACGTTAGTTCTTTCGCAAACTTGAATATACTCTGCAAGGGCTCATTCCTACGTCAGCGCTCTCAGAGCCGACAGGACCTGACCCCCGAGCCTTTCAGGCGTCCACGGGTTCCCGCAGTCCTGCGATCCTACATAGCCTGCGCGCGTCTCACGCTTATCCTTTGCCAACGATCGCTCGCGCAACACAGGACAAGCAAGCATGGCAACACAAGAAGAGAGCCAGGTGGAAGACTGTAAAGAATTCTTGCAGAAGTTTGAAAGATGGGCAGATCCGACCTGGGGCTTCTTCGTTTACGGCACCTATACGCGCCCACAAGGCCAGGAAGTCTCAAACGAAGATACAGATAAGGAAGACAGAGCAGGTCAGTGGAAAAGAATGCAGCCTATCGAGTGCAAATATTGATGAACAATAGATGCGACCGATGATGATGCCCACTTCCAAGCAGTGATCCGCAAAGTCTACGCCCACGCAACAGATAACCTGCGTTACAGCAACCCCGCGCCATACAACCAAAAGATGATAGACATCTTACGTCTCGATCCTGCTGCTTATATGCCTGGCGCGTCGCTCGACGTCGTCTGCAGGCATTTCCGCCAACATTATGCTCAAAAGGTCTTCCCGGAGACAATGGGTGAACCTGGGCCTCCCGCAATACAGGACGACATTCCCGACGAGGAGAAACTCGGCCCAAAGTGGGCCTGGTGTATAGTCATCGATGATGAGGCGCTTGAGAGTCTGGCGAACGGCCCCGAACCCATAGGAGATGCGCCGCCAGAAGGCGTAAGTTCTCTTAAACTGGCATACAATGCCAAGGAGGCGTTTGTAAAATTGCTAGATGGGATGAAGACGACGATGGAGGGGCCTGAAGTGATCGCTGCAGGTGGTCGTCCAGGTGGTGAAGGACCTAAAACAGTGTGGAATGGATGGCTCAAGTTCTCGCCTGTGGATCTTATGGGTGTCTGGATTCAGGCGGAGAGCAACGGTATCATTGATCAGTTTTACGGGGAGGATAAGCTTTTCGACTGGTAATCGTCGAGGGTGATGTGCTGCATATGCTATGACAGCTTCGGTACGTACACTTGGCACTCCAATCGATCAAATCAGATCCTCCAGGCAACCATCCTTCGTTCAAGACAAAAAGCCGATATATCCGGACTCATCTGAATCATCTTGGTAGAGGCATGGGAAGACTGACACAACACTCACAATGGCGCATCAGATATCGTTGACTTTGGTAGGAGACAATCCAGTGAGCATGTATCGGTGGCGATGTTGACTTTTCGAAGGGCCATGAACTGCATTCAGATGTAACAACGCTGACACGCCCTTACACCTTCCTAGTAGCCGTTACACCAAAATCATCCACCATCATGAGCTACAGGTCAACTTCAAGTCCCTCACGCCCCTTCATCCAGCTGCATACACAGCTCACGCCTGCTCAAATCCAACTCATCCAGTCCCACGAAGATTTCGGCGAAGTACGCGTCCCAGTCAGCGAACTCAATCTCGCAAGTTTCCTCCGCAACCAGATCGATCTTGAGGCTCCATCAAAAGACGCGCGGACGGTATCAAAGCTCGTCGCCAGGCTTCGAGATGCAAAGGCTGCCCACGATGACGACAGTGACAGTGGCCACAGCGTTGTAGCCCATATCCTAAGCTTCACAGTTCTCGGTGATCAAAGTGGGGAGCTGGTTCCAGAGGGCCGCATGTTACTGTGGAAGTGGGATAAACCTCAAAGCCAGTACCGGAAAACAGGCTCCTGGGGCCATAGTTTGACAAAAGTCCTGGTCGATGCCGAGTGGAACACTGGTAAAGATGTCACGCTATACGTGAAGGCTGTTGAAGAGGAAGAGTATGAGAGGGTGTTGAAAGGCGAGACGAAGACATAAGCGGCGTTCACTTGAGATGAGAACGGGTAGCGTAAAGTGTCTTGATGTGGAACACCTGGATGTTAAGACAGGAAGAAGGGGCGACCGTGCTTTTTCGAGACAGCTCATTGTGGAAGGCGCTATCCTTGATTAGTGTTAGGCTCATTACGCGACGGGTCGAAGGAACGTTCCTTCCGTCACTCATCTTCAATTCAGAAGTGAACGTCAAAACTATGCATACAACACTAATACAAGCGTTGTCTATGAGCCTTTAATCAAGAAGGACCTCATATGTACATCCGAAACCATCTAAGCGTGTTCAAAAACGTAAACAAAAGCACATCCCTCGTCATCTCTCCAAACCAGACGCAAATACCCACCTCACGAACCACTACTACGCTTCCGCAGCAGCGGCATCGACGGCATCTTCGTCAACCGTCTAACCTTCGCCAACGCCTTCGGACTTGGGCTCAGGCTCGCCGTCGGTGTCTTATCCTTCATCGCGTTCTTGGACTCCGCAAGGACCTCACCTGTACCAGACTTGTGTGGCACGAGGAAAGAGTCGAACGTTGTCGCTGGGTTAGCGCGGAAGAGAACTTCTTGGTTCAGAGGGCTGCGTACATGGTTCGAAGAGCTAGACGATGACGGGCCTGATGGGCTTGCTAGAGGCGATATACGACGGGTGTTGTATGCGCTTGTGCGGGGGCTGGAGGGCTGGTAGAAGTAGTCTCCGCTGCTAGCTGCACGAGCGTGTGAGTAGCGACGGTTGCGCGGCTCTTCGTACTCCTCAGGTTGTGTAGTTGGTGTTGACCGAGGCAGCGGAGGTGGCAGCATAGAAGAGCGAAGGTCGTATGTCGACTGAGAAGACTGCCAAAATTGTGTGCGACCATGTTCTTCATCCTTCTTATCGTCAGTCGTTTTCTTAATCCGAGGTATGTGCACTTTATTACGCACCTTCTCCTTCGTCTTGGGAACAGCGCGCTGGCTTTGCTGCATCTCGTGCTCAATCCCCGCGAGCGCGATTATCTTCTCTTCCAAGGGCATGGCCTGGGGTATCAAACCCCTGCGACCCTCATGGTGAGTGTAAAGGCGCTCGTCCGACCACTCTTGGAGGTTGTGGTTCTTCTCGCCTTGTGCGAGCGCTTTCAGGTCTTCTACAGACAGCGCCTGAGCGTAGTAGCGTGGTTTTGGCGCGGGTTGCTCCCATGAGTAGAGCGACATAGAGTCGACTGAGTGACGACGCGCGCTTGACTCTGTAAGGTGGTATCGAGGTTGCGGGCTGGTGCTTGTAGAGCGATTAGTCGCGTTGCTAGTCACGGGAGGCGTCAAGAAGTCGGTCTCGAGTGGACCAAAGTGCTCCTGCAAGGAAGAAGTGAAAACAGGTACTGCCACTGGTTGTTCAAACGGCTCACTCAAATTTGCAGCGACATTGTACGAGGTAGAGTCCTCTGTGCACCCCTGGACTGTGTGTGTCAAAGGCTCCCGCGGAATCGCATCAAAAGAGAAATCCGAAGCCGCATCAGAGTCGTCCACTACGCGCGACCAGTTTTCATCGCCAATTTCATCATTACATGCCTTCATCTTCCCTTTCGCAGATGCTGTAGGCCGTGGGTAGCCCATGAGCGCGGTCGACACTCGTTTCGAGACTTGTGAGGTGAAAAGAATATATTTGTATTTCGCAAAAGCTCCTCCAAAATAAGTACGTGTGATGGGTTGGAGATGCGTGCAATATTGACCTCGCAATGATGAAGACGCCTTTCTTGGAGCAAAAGATACCTGCTTATATGCGCGTGGGCAAAAGTCAGTGTGAAAACCCATCGTCTGTACGATGCGCTTCTAGGGTAAAGGAGCCTCCATCATTCACAATGAACGATACCTTAATGAGTTAACAGAGCAAGACGCCCAGAGAGCCTTGTACGAGGTACCGGCCCATCATTCACTGCCATCCTCCTAGCTCCTCTGATCTTATGCTGGGCCTTCTGCCTTCGCTTCTTCTTCTTCATGCATCTTTCTCTTCTCTTCCTCGGGTGTTCACTGCCTCCTCGCGGATGTGTAACTAGCTGCTATGCAGCTCACTTCCGGCATTTGGTTTCTCTTCGTGCGATGTGTCAGCCGTGGGAGTATCGACATGGCTTCCGAATGACATCATGTGTCAGATGTCTCAATTCTGCGTCGGCGTTTAGCGTACGAGTGTTTGATGTTTTGCGTTCTATTATCCATCGCATTGTTCATATGTAAGCCCAGTAGAAAAAGCTGAAGAGCACGGTAGCGGCGCCCATGTACGCGGATGGAAGAGGTGTGTGCCGAGTTCCGAGAGAGGTGGGGTCGAATACGGGTCTGCGGTCTTCGTTAGCTCACGTTCCTGACTTGGCGTAACTTCTGAATAAGGCAAGGATATCATCGGTACGCAATCTGCCGGCATATGACAGGCCGCTTGATTAGAGAGGGTGTGGACTTACTGCTTCAGGTGCAAACCCATGTCGTCGATGGCATCACACTTTTGCCACTCGGTCTCGGGAATAGCTTCCATGGCTACTTCATTCTTGTCGTTGAAGCTTAATCGCTGCCCTTCGCTTGCGCCGAATGAGTGCCAGTCTGGGCTTTGGAGCTCCGAACCTTTGGAGACCAGATACTCTGCAGCGTGGGTGTTTGGGTCATAGCTTCGTATGAATGATGCCCAGTACGCCTGGACAAAGACACCAGCCGCTGAAGTGGCATTGTTCCAGATTGGCAGGAGTTCGCCAACGTGTGATGCAGTTCCAACATTCCATCTGTACTGCCAAGTCGGGTTCGTGTTGTTGAGGGCGTACGTATCAGTAATGTTGAGACTAGGACAGTTATAGCGGATATAACCGTAGACATCGGCGGTCAATGATCTCCAGCGAGCGTCGCCAGTGGTACCAATGTTGCCATCCCAAAGCTGACGAATCGTGTCCCATTTTATACCGGGGTATTGATCAACTAGGAAGTCTTGAGCTCGAGGTTGAGACATGATACTCTTGGCCACAAAGTTGATCCCGTCGTTTGTGGCGGTACCGAAAATAGTAGGCACGTTGACGAAGTGGCCAGCCTTCAATTCGTTGAAGGTGAAGTCTTTGATGAAATCGTAGTCCAATGTCGGGTTCCAGAAGTAAAGCGGTGGGTTCTTGCCGCCTGGGAAAGGCTTCAGGAGAGTACGTACAGCATCCTGGAAGATGACCGCATCCAAGCTGGCCATGCAATTGAGATCCGCGCATCCGGTTTGGTGTAGTAGCTCATCATACTGCCATTGGCTGTTCTCGACATCTCGCATGGACGGAAAGGCTGGAGATTCGGCAGCAGCAGCGTGGAAGAGGCCATCGTCTCGACCACCGTATGCAGTAAGTTGGAAGACCACTGAGCCCCCACCAGCACTTGCGCCTCCAATGGTAACGTGCCCCGGATCGCCTCCAAACTGCTGGATGTGCTTCTGAACCCATTCGAGTGCCTTCCTTTGATCTTTTAGTCCGTTGTTCAAACTCAGACTCTGGTTTGCAACAATCTCTTTGCTAGCCAGAAATCCATAAGGTCCTACTCGATAGTTGAAGTTCACCACAACCATGCCGTCGTCGCCGGCATCGATCAAGTCTGCACCGTTGTAATTCGCATTGCCGTTCATGTTGAAGCCGCCGCCTTGGATGAAGACGTAAACCGGCAACATGCTTTTGTTGGTAGCTCTTTCTGGTGCAAAGACGTTTACGAACAGGCAGTCTTCCGAGTGTTTCCCCCCAAACTCGGCTGTCAGGCTGCTCTTGGTGCCGATACATAGGGGTCCAAACTAAACTGCTGTTAGCGTGGTGTCCACAAACGTGAGTACGCTCTGTACCTTCGTAGCGTCAACAACATTGCGCTCATCTTCGGGATCTTGAGGTGCAGCGAATCGAAGTCCATCTGAACGGATTGGCCTGCGGGCATATCGCATACCAGCCCATCGTATGACACCATTGCCGATATCTTTCCCACGGTATTGCGCGTATCCAAGGTCGATGGTCTCCTTCAATGCGAGGGCGTGCTGAAAGAAAAGCGCTGCACAAAGCAGCAAACGAAACATTGTCGACAGCTGTATGAGAAAGCGAGGAAAGAAAGGCAGCCGCAAAGTATCTTGACAGTCTGTATCGTGTTCGGCCGCGCTGCCCCTGGTTGTCGCCGAAGGGTCGTTCCGATACGAGCTATGCTATAGTGCGGCAGGGCTATGGTAGATCGTTGTTCTAGGGGAACGAGATAGAAAAACAAAGGAAACTTGACAATTGCATCATAGTTTCATAGCGGGAACTGGCGTGAGGAGGTACACTATTTCCGAGGCGTTAGCATTCACGGGTGGCGTCTGTTGGCATTGTGTGAGTACATACCGTGGGAACGATCAGTGACATTAGCATCGTGCTGCTAGCAAACGTAAGCTCGAGGGCTGAGTCGGTGGTAGGACAACTCAGGTCCACGTCACAGAAGGGCGGACTCCGCGGATATAAAAGAGCCCGGGCGACTTTGTTGTTGGTCTTACCTAGGTACCTATCGCTGCATTGCTCAACACGTACCGCCGCCAGCCACAGCATCAAGCCAGGGTAATTCGAAATCCAGACCATTCGCATGCATGAGGATGCGACAGACACTGTGACTGGGTAGCCCTAGGCCTATGGAAGTGGATAGTGCTGACCAGGGTGATTTACCGACAGGTCGTAGCGCGCGCTGACGGTGTAATTACACCGAGACCATTGCTGCACGACTCCAGGGCTGTGTTTCGTTGGACACTGAGGCCCGCGGAACTCAATCCGGATTGAGGACAGCGATAGGGGCAGTTGGGGAGATGCAGCATGATGGCTAGCGCTGGACGGGACGGCAGATGAGGATTGACGACAACAATGAGATCAGATCTACGATAGAAGAGCGGCTGGCGGGCGGCCAGCGTTGATGATCAGAAAGCCATGTGGGACCTGCAGCTAGATCCATGATGCGAAAGCTTGATCACTCCAAGGATGATAAGCGACATCCTTGCCGGCTTCCCCCCA